AAAAGTATGTGCTGTCCTCCATTTTGCACACTGCCTCACACAAAATAGTCTCTTTGTACATTCAGTGTAAAACTAGAGTTAGTCTCTCTGTTTTCTTGCAACCAAAGGCATCCTTTGTATTTAACACATTCCTGTCGTAGTCTCTCATGTTGCCTCACAGTCATATCTTTGGTTCAAGTTAGCAGGTTTATTTTATTTGCGCTTTTTTTTGTTTGTTTCCACAATGAGTTCTCTCTCTCACATCAGTACATGTGAGCTGGTGAGTCAGAAACGTTTGATCTCTTCAGTGTGAATGTGTTTCTGTGAGCGCTGCTCTGCTTCTCCTTCTAAGCAGCCTCCTGAACAGAGATGAAGCAGTGTAGAGGACGGAGGCTGAGACCACAACCACCTGCCCAACTCTGTCTGCTGTGATCTTCCTGCTGAAGTGACTGACAGCAGAGTGGGCGGGTCCTCACTGATAATGTGGAGCTTCTGAGCTGGTTGATCTGCAAAATATTTGAGGCTGCTCTTTTATCTGTGTGTTTGTGGTGAAAGGTTGGATACATCTTTTTTCTTCAAATTCACACAAATCAAACAGATCATGTGAATTCCTTATTTAAATGAGTGACAGACATTGTAGTGTTTTATAGTAGTTCTGGCCAGTTTCATTAGTTTGTTTTTTTAAAGCGATTCTGTTGAATCACAATTTAAAAGCAGTGTTTGATTTTTATTTGGTGATTTAAAGTAAATTTTTATTGCTTTTGTCAATTTCAAGTTATTTCAGTGACCATTGTGAGTTTTTCTCTCTTTAACAGAAGGGTACCAACAATTTTGTCCACATGTGAATATATCCCACAGGATGCACTTTAATTTAAAGACTAGTGGTGTCAATGACCTTTTTAAAATGAATATGTTTTGTAAGCAGCCAAAGAAGGGTTCATTGTTTATCTTCTATTTGTTTAATCATTCAACTTGGTGACAATGAAATGTAACTTCCCCAGTGTGAGCAGGACGAGTGTTTAATCGGAGGGTCGTGCGTCTCTCGTCGTCTCGTTGTCAGAGGGCAACATCTCTGTTTCTCCAGCTGTTTTCTACAGTGTGTCACCCATCAGTGGCCACTGCCCCCTGGTGGAACTGCTGTCTTGGCTAGTTTTCTCTTTTATAGGTTTAACCTGTTTTGGTTTTAATAATTTGGATGAATTAAAGTCCGTGGACATATTGTTATAGTTGCCCATC